GCCGCCGCCCGCGCCCCTCAGCAGCTCGCGCAGCAGCGCGCCGGGCTTGGCGGCGCCGGGCGCCAGGTGCGCGGCAGCCCAATCGTCCAGCACCCTCTCGAGCACCTTTTCGGCTCCTGTGCGGACGCCGCCGTCGTCGCTGGTGGCGCCGGCAGCGCTGTCTCCGGCGGGGTCACCCCTGGCAGCAGGGGGCGCGACGACCCCCTTGGCCAGCAGCGGCGCCAGCCGTGCCGCCAGGTCAGCAAGCGCTGCATCGGTCAGGCCGGCGCCGGCGCCGGCGCCGGCGCCGGCGGGTGCGTTTTCAGGGCCGGCGGGGCCTGCGGTGCTGTTGGGTGGCTGTAGCATCCGGGGCGACGCGGGGGGCCCGAACGGGGTGCTGGCGCGGGGGGCGCCCGCGGCAGTGCGGGTGGCAACGGGTGCAGGGCGGCCGGCACGAAGCGCGCTGGAGGGGACGGGGCCGGGCTCGGGCCTGAGAGAGGAAGAGGTGTGGCAGCGAGGTTGTGTCGGGAGTGCAAGGGAGAGAGGCGGTCGATTCTGGGCGGCCGAGCAGAGGCCGCGCATGTGCTGCAGGGGTGGATGCGCTGCAGCGATGCGTCCAATGGGTACTGACGCAGCAGCGCCGAAGCGCGGCCTGCGCGCCCAAAATTAAGACTCCGTGTGGTTGACAGCATGCAGCTGGTTATGTATGCCTCGCACAGCACCTTGTGCGCTGGGATGGGCCGGCGACCGCGGCTGCCGGTCGCGGCGGGCTGCGCGGCGGCGCATGCATGCACACACCCAAGTGACGTCCCTTCTCACCTGTGCGCCGACACTGCCGCGCGGGTGAGGGTGCGCCGCGTGGCGCTGGTGTAGGACTTGATAGGCATCATACGTGCCTTTGGCAGAGGGGGACGGGGCGTAAGGAATGGGATTCATATCCATGCAGGCAGTGGGGAAGTGGTCAAGAGCGGGATCGGCGCCCAACCTGCGTACACGCGCCAAATGGGCGCGTGCGAGCCAAGTACATCGATGTAAGCGTAGTATACTTGATCATAAGCGCTGTGCTTGCTAGCTAGCGGGATGGGTGGACTGATCTGTTGTGCAGGCTGTGTCGACGCAGAGCTGTACGGGCTGGTGGACGCGCATGCTGTGCTTGTATGCCGTCTCAGTTTCCCTTCTATAATCAACGTGGGACGAGAGACGAGCTAGGTGCGTCCTTTCCTAAGTCGTGGAGGCACTCACTTACTCACTACCGGCACGATCATAGCGCTCTTCTTATTATCTGAAGCCTTGCGCGATGATTTGAGATACTTGAAGACTTTCGGCCTGCCCGCATTGCGTGCCTTGGTGCCCGACCATCGCAGTCCAGGATCGTCCTGCAGAAGCGCAGCGCTTGCATGGATGTCGCTGACGGTAGGGGATGTGGCGTGGCACGGCAGCAAGAGTGGCTGTCTACCAAAGTCCCGGTGTCGCTGGCGGCGCAGGGTAACGCGTGCCGCCACTCATATAATCCGAGGGCCGCGGCTTCGGCCGCGAGGGGCATGTCGCCTCCGGGTGGCTTGCCGTCGCACATGCCGGACGCATGCGAGTGTGCAGTGCACCTGTTGAGACAGCGCTGGTGCTAGTGCTGACACTTTGCGCGCTGCTTGGATTGCTTGCCTGTGTGCAAGGCAAGGAACTTGCTTCTCTCCGGGGTTGTGCGGTGTGCGCTGGCCTAGAGCACCATCAGTGGTGCTGCGTACAGGCCAGCTTGTGACGGCCGGTACGGACGACATGTGCATCACATGTCTGCGCCTCTGTTTGCCGCACGCCGCAAACCTAGTCCAGGGCGTCACAGCACTGGCAGGTGAAGCTGGCGCGCACCTGTAGTGAAGCCATGCAGGCTCGTCCAGCATATATAGCTCATCCCGGCGACATATTGATATAACTAATTAGTTTTGAACTTCTTTAACGTCGCTACATTCCCAGTCAAACACGAGAAACGCACAAGACAAAGTCCTCCTCCATCTTCTTCGTCGTTTGCTGCTGAGCCCAGCGGCGGGGGGTGCCCTTGTGGGACAGGAATACGCCTGCCGCAAGGAGTGGGACGAGACGGCACAGCCCGTGGGCCCAAGCACATGGCTTGGATCAGGAACGGGACTGCTCAGCACATGTGTCCTGAAAGCCACCCCCGTCGATAGCTCAGATGGGCCCGGGGATGCCCACGGCATTAGCCCGTGGAGCGGGACGAGACGGCTATCGCCCATGGGCCCCAGTGCTCGAAGGGCGTGTGGGTATGGCCCGCACGCCTGGGAAGCCTCCCCAGAACCCAGGCAGCAGACGACTAGGGCCTAAATAGCATTCTCTGCGCCTGCCTGCGCCGCGCACGGGCCCGCGGCGCCAAGGGGCGGCGCAAATCAGGTGCGCCGCGCGCTGTTGCGCATTGCTGCTTGCTGCGCCCCATGCGCCGTCTGCTCGCAGGACACCGACCTCAGGCGGAGGCCTGCTATAAGGTGCGTCCAGCTAGTGGGTTGGGGCCTGTTGCTTGCTTGTGAAAACCTGCTTTGGGGTGGAGGGGAGGTGGTTGGCGGCACGCTGCTGCCGGCGATTACCGTCCTGCAGCGACCAGCCCCCCCTTTCACACACACACACACACACACACACACACACACACACACACACACACACACACACACACACACACACACACACACAACTTTTGCAACCCCTGCTTCACAGAGTGGTGTGCCTGCTGCGTTTTGGTGCTACACACCCCTCCTGTGCGAACAACTGGCGACCACACGGGCGCCGATGGCTCCCGCAGGTTTTGCGACAACCTTGTGCCTTTAGTTTCAAGCTTGCTGCTCGCCGCATCATGGAGCACTGTGCACCTGATTTTCACTGTGTAATGCTCAACAATTGTTTCCTCGCTTGCCGATAAACACACAGCAGATTGAAAGCAAGTGTTTAGCCAAATAATACAGCAAGAACCGACTCGGATCAAAGCAACCAGAGCTGTGACTTGTCAAATGACTAAGATGCACCTAGCCGCTAGCCAGCGTGCCACCAAGCGGGCAGCCGCCCGCCTATCCGCGACAATAGGCCCAGAGATTACCAGATTGTGTGTCTGCACGATTAAGGCGGCGGGCAATTGGGTTTCCTGGCATACGCCGAGGATGCATTGTGCGTGGCACAATGCCTGTACAACTATCAGCGGCAACAGGAAGCACCCTGGCAGCAATTGATGTTACCGCGCAGTCCTGTCCCAAAGAAAATCACCGTGTCTGCAGGCCCTTCCGCCTGCCCCCCAGCTGCAGCTGCAGCAGCTGCTGCTCTAGTGCCTCGAGGCCCCGCTGCATCTGCGCCAGCTCTGCGACTGCCTGGCGCCCCTCTGCCGGCCGGTCTGAAGGCAGGGGGACCCCGCACAGGCTCGGCCCAGCAGGATCGATGAGCTGCCGGCGCTCTCCCTGCGCCGCCACCGCAGCCGCCGTGGCCGCCTCCTCGGTGCATGCTCCCCTCCAGCCCGGCCGCTGGGCTCCCTGTTGGGGCCTCGTCATCGGCGGCTGCGGCCGAGCGTCCTCGTCACCTGCAGCGCAATCGGCCTGAACAGCAAAGCCCAGGTACTGCAGCGTGTGCAGAGGCTCCGCCTGGCCCTCCTGCCTCTGCGGACACTCCTCCTCGTGCTGATGCTGCTGTTGCTGCTGTTGCTGCTGCCGCTGTTCAGGCCACTCACCCCGTTCGTGCAGCTCGAACGAGGCGCTGTCTGCCTCCTGCCAGAACTGCCGCTGCTGCTGACGCTGCTGAGCCCTGAGCGCCACAATGCGCTGCAAGCGAGGACTGCGCTGCGGACTGGGCTGGGGTCGCGGGTGTCCCTGGGCTGCTGACACGCTGTGGTCGCCTATTGGCGTGTCTGCCTGTTGTGCTGCTGCATCGCTGGACAAGCAGACAACTCGCCCACGCTCTGCGTTCTCGCCGCTGCTGTCATCACTGCTGCTGCTGCTGCTGCTGCTGCTGCTGCTGGTGGTGGTGCTGCTGCTGCTGCTGCTACAACAGCTGCTTGACCGCACCAGTGGTTCTACAGGGCAGGAGCTCAGCACTTCCAGCCGCAGTCTGTTGGTGAGGGAGTCACCCACAGCCTGCTCTTTGGGAATCACTTGTTCCCGCGCCTGCTGCTGCTCTCGTTTGAATACCTCGCCACGCTGTTCGCCCAGCAGTGGTTGTTGAGCCCTTCGTTGCTGATCCTCTACAACCGACCATGCATGCGCGCCTGCCGCCTCGCCCTCCTGCTGAGGCTGCTCCCGCAGGTGGCCTTCCCCTCCCTCCCCAGCCGCCGCCCGCCTCTGCCGCGCGCCACCGTCGCGTTTCACGCCGCCGCTCAGCGCCCGGTGCTGCTCCACCAGGCGCGCCTCCAGCTTAGAAATGTACCTCTCACGCTGCGTGGCGGCGGGCGTGGTCAAGGCCGGAGGCGGGGTGACATGTCTGGTGAGATGCATCAACACTTTATTCAACTGCTGGCCGTTGAGAGACTAGTAGCGAGGTTGCGCATGGTACCCAACCAGTCCCCTGGTTCATGTCCTGGCCGCGCAGTTTCACACTGCCGACCCATGCGTTGTACAAGAGCGCAGTGGCCCTCGACCCCCAACGCAGCCTGTGTGGCTGCCCCCCAATGGGTCGGCGCAACACCTGCTTGCCGACGTCGGGGTTGCTGACCGCCACACTTTCACGATACAAGCTCTACTGCCGAATTTGGGGTAGCCGTCTTGAATGCCATTCATGTGGAATTATCCCCTTGAATATGAGCATGAGAATCGAAGCCCACTTTGCACGACGCTTGCCCCATAGGACCGCATGCTTGCCCCACCCACCTGCTCAGCTGCCGTCTGCCGCTCTCGGGCTTGGTCGGCCGCCCATCGCGCGCGCGCCTCCGCCTCTGCCAGGCCGCGC